CATGGGGTCACACACTGTCACCCTATTTTAACTTCCCTGCCCTGACCCAGCACAGCCATTCCCTCTGGTCCCACAGGGGCTATTTGCTCTGACCCATGTTGCCAGTGTCCCAAGGTGTCCTATACACTCAGGGGGTTTCCTAAATTTCTGACCTCGGGTTGATTCTCAACCTTTCCTTGCTCAGTTTTCTTAAAAACAGGCACCACCCAGGACAATTCTGGTGTAGAACATCCCTGCTGAGCTCCAGCATCAACCCAGACTTCTCTAAACCAAAATATCATCAGGGAAGGATTTTTCCCACTGTCTGAAGTTAGAAGGAACCTCTGGAGCAGCTGAACRGCTCTTGTGGGGGGCTCCTCTCTCTGCTTTTATTTATCCTTTAACACACTCATCCATCACCCGGCTATTTCCGCRCTGCAGCAAGTCCCTCCATTTCCGATCAGATTTCTATATACATTCAGCTCCTATTAATCATAATCTACAATGGGAAGATAAAAATGCTCGGATGAATTCTGATTATGGGATTAGGCAGAAGCAGCCCTGCGACACCCGGACAGCTCAGCAAGATGTACACACTGCTCAGCCCTCCTTTCACAGCTCAACAGCTGGATTCCCTTCCAAATTAATCACCTCTGTCATTAAATCTGATCTTTCTGAGTTAAGCTTTACAAACCTTCTTTCCTTCCTTTTTTTTTTTTTAACAACACTATTGATAAATGGATTGTTTACTAAGTAAGTAAGCGCTATTAACACCATTGAAAAATCACTCTGTGGTGTTTGACTCTCTCTTTGCCAAGAGGGAGATTCAGATTATTGTGATTTAGACAGTTCTGAGGCAGAGATGTCAGGGCACAACTGTCAGGGCACAGGGGCCAAGGTGCTGGGCAGCACTGAGCTCTGCAGGGGTGGTACCTGTGGTCCAGGCTGGATCACGGCACCTCTTTGGGATGGCACCTTTTGTGCTGCCTGTCCTGGAATGGCCCTACTCACACCCCCAGGGCAGCCCCTGTCCCTGCCAAACCCAAACCTGGCTGTGCTGGCAGCCACAGAACCAGCAGAGCTGCCTGGGGGCTCTGCACTCTCCACGGCAGGCAGATGAAATCATAAATTTATAATACAACATTACTTCAATTTTCCTCTTCATTTACTGCTGCAGGGCCCAGCTCTGCTTGAACGACTCGAAGGCTGATCCCTGTGGGGACACTGCCCAGCTGAATTTCAGTGCCCACGTGGATGCTCCATTGAGCAGATTTATGGCCATGCAGACCCACCCAACATTGCCATGAGCTGCCATCCTCATCCTGCACTGAGCACCAAGCACTTGATTTGCCTCAGTAGTCCTGGGGAATGATCAATCCCTTCTATTATCCCTTGTTGCCAGACCAAAAATCCGAGTTTTGACTGGATCACCTCCTTCAAAGAAGACTCTGCTGTCCGTGGAAGCAGAACTCAAACCAGCAATCAAACCACTGCTGCCACCCAGCTCCTGTCCAGGCTATGGAAATGGTTTTCATTTTAAAATCTGGTGATGGGGTGGACAAAACCCATTGTCAATGTGGGAACACTGAGCACACAGGGGACAGGGGACCTTTGCAAAATGAGTTCAAATGTTCCACTAAACGCAAAAAAGTTGTCTCCAAATGTTGCTCTGAGTTGCAGCTGTGACTCCACKGAACAGTGTCTGGTGGAAAAAGGAATGACTTTCTCTGAAGGACACRAGCTTCTGTGATGCATGAGCTCAGCCTGCCCAGACTGAGCGTGTGCAGAGCACAGAGCCCTCCAGACACCTCCCAAAATCCACATTCCCATGCACATCGCTCCGAAATTCGGGGTGTRAGCGTTGGGGGCTGAGTGCTCCCACCTCCAGAGGGGTTTGTGAGCTAAAAAGAGCCCCATTTTAACATWAAACACCAGCAGGATGTTTAAATTAAACACCAGCCCATCACCCAGAGAAATGAGTGCTCCAGAGCTGGGTGTCACCACTGTGGTCRCTTTGGTGTCCCAGACACAGAGAGWCCYTCAGATGGGAGGGGAGGTCACCTCCTGATGCTGCTCCTCTGTTGYTGTCTTCTTTWCCCTYTTCTTTTYCARTTTYCARGCACAGMGAGCACAAAGCTCTGGGGCAACACTGCCATTCCCACGCCCTTGGGTGACAGTGCCTTGATCTGAACGATGGCCAGGTGCCAGGAGGAGCAAAACTGCTCACCAAACTGCTCACCAAACTGCTCCCACTCAGCCACAGATAGGAAAGGGGCTCAGGGGATCTCTCTGTGAGCACACACAGGGCTGGGAGCAGCTCTTTCTGCTGGGAGGGCTGACAGGGAGAGCAGCAGAATCAGACCCACCCTGAGCTCTCTGCACACAGAGAGAGGATCCTCAATGCTCCTGATCTCCCTGGCACCAGCCTGTCCCACCAGCAGCACAGCCCAGCACCATCCTGGCACCAGGCTCTGCCTGCCAGATTCTGATTCTGATTCTGCTGCAGAATCAGACCCACCCTGACCTCTCTGCACACAGAGAGAGGATCCTCAATGCTCCTGTTCTCCCTGGCACCAGCATGTCCCACCAGCAGCACAGCCCAGCACCATCCTGGCACCAGGCTCTGCCTGCCAGATTCTGATTCTGATTCTGCTGCAGAATCAGACCCACCCTGACCTCTCTGCACACAGAGAGAAGATCCTCAACGTTCCTGTCGAGAGGATTCTCAATGTTCCTGCTGTCCCTGGCATCAGCCTATCCCACCAGCAGCAGCACAGCCCCGTCCTGGCACCAGGCTCTGCCTGCCAGATTCTGATTCTGATTCTGATTCTGCTGCAGAATCAGACCCACCCTGACCTCTCTGCACACAAAGAGAGAGGATCCTGAATGCTCCTGCTCTCCCTGGCACCAGCCTGTCCCACCAGCAGCAGCACAGCCCAGCACCATCCTGGCACAAGGCTCTGCCTGCCAGAGTGTGATTCTGATTCTGCTGCAGAACCAGACCCACCCTGACCTCTCTGCACACACAGAGAGAGCATCCTCAACGTTCCTGTTGAGAGAGGATCCTCAATGTTCCTGCTGTCCCTGGCACCAGCCTGTCCCACCAGCAGCACAGCCCAGCACTGTCCTGGCACCAGGCTCTGCCTGCCAGATTCTGATTCTGATTCTGATTCTGATTCTGATGCAGAATTAGACCCACCCTGACCTCTCTGCACACAGAGAGAAGATCCTCAATGTTCCTGTTGAGAGGATTCTCAATGTTCCTGCTCTCCCTGGCACCAGTCTGTCCCACCAGCAGCAGCACAGCCCTGGGGAGCCCAGCACCATCCTGGCACCAGGCTCTGCCTGCCAGATTCTGATTCTGATTCTGATTCTGCTGCAGAACCAGACCCACCCTGACCTCTCTGCACACAGAGAGAAGATCCTGAATGCTCCTGTTCTCCCTGGCACCAGCCTGTCCCACCAGCAGCACTGTCCTGGCACCAGGCTCTGCCTGCCAGAGTCTGATTCTGATTCTGATTCTGATTCTGCTGCAGAACCAGACCAACCCTGACCTCTCTGCACACAGAGAGAGGATCCTCAATGCTCCTGCTCTCCCTGGCACCAGCCTATCCCACCAGCAGCACTGTCCTGGCACCAGGCTCTGCCTGCCAGAGTCTGATTCTGCAGAGTCTGATTCAGTCTGATTCAGCTGGGAGCAGCTCCTTCTGCTGGGTGGGCTGACAGGGACAGGGAGAGCTGCAGAACCAGACCCACCCTGACCTCTCTGCACACACACACAGAGGGTCCTGAATGCTCCTGATCTCCCTGGCACCATCCTGTCCCACCAGCAGCACAGCCCAGCACTGTCCTGGCACCAGGCTCTGCCTGACAGATTCTGATTCTGCTGCAGAATCAGACCCACCCTGACCTCTCTGCACATAAAGAGAGGATTCTCAATGTTCCTGCTGTCCCTGGCACCAGCCTGTCCCACCAGCAGCACCGTCCTGGCACCAGGCTCTGCCTGCCCGCGCTCGCGGAGTCAAAAAAAACCCTTTCAGAAGAACACTTTAATTTTCCTCCAATCAACCAAATCATCACAGAAGCGGCTGCCTGTGCACCTTTAGACCCTGGCTGCTGCAGGCTCCTTGGGGAGGCTGTGATTAATGAAAAAGACCAACTTCCTTAATAGCTTTGGAGGGAGTCGCTCCCCGCTCCTTCCTTTGGGTTGTCTGGTGTTCGTTCCTCCAGTTCCCTCCTCTGCCCATCAACAGCAGCTGGAGAAGGTGACCTTGAACGTGRTTTTTCTGGAAACAGGTGATGCCTTAGGATTTTTAGTTTCTCTATTTTCATGCATCTGTATTCTTGTACTTCTCTAGTACAGCACTAAAACTCCTGTTCTCTCATCTTTAGACAAAACAATCCCTCTCTGAGCTGAATCCAAGGACACCTCAGAGCCCCAAAATATGGAAACAACAGCGAGTTGGGCTGGAGCAAATTTTGGGGTGGTTGACATCATCACCTGTAAAGATCATTGGAGAATTAAGACCCAATATGTTAATAAAGCAGAACTTATAAAAGGTGAAGATCTCGTGACCCGGTGTCCATTTTGGGTGTAGCCTCAGGAGGAGGCTTTGTCTGCCCTAATGTACCAGGGGCTGTTAGGCCTGGATTAAAGCTGTGTATTCTCTCTTTCAGATTAGCCTGATTGATAAGGCATCACAGGTACAGAAATCTTTTCAGAGCAGCTCCAGTCACTCCAGTTCAGTCCAGTTGGGCAYGGAACAGAAGGAGCAGGACAGACCTGACCCGGCCTCGTGAGACCCCACAAAACACTCAGCAGCAGCAGTGACAGAACTCTGTGTTTGATTATTTGATGGGTTAATTATGCCCCTCTTCCTGCAGAGATGGGCCCTGCAGCCTTTGAAACCAGGCTTTTCTGACGGCCATCCAGCAGCTCTGCTCTCCTGSGCTGCCATTTCCTTGTTTAGCACTTAATTATTTAACACCGTGCCACTGTAGCGAGCAGGAACTTGGAAGATGATGAAAAAGCAGCTCGAGTGGATAATGAAGCATCTGGCCTTCAGGATGGATCAATCACCAATGCTCTGCAAGTTCCCCTGATCTGAGGAGCAGGGAGAGCAGCGTGGGATCCATCAGGGTCACCCAACCCCACGYTGCAGCAGCACCAAGGTGCCCTCATCCTTTCCTCTGAGCAGCTCTACTCACAGAGAGCTTCTTTTCTTAATCCTCACAGTTTGAGATGATCCCTTCCCAGAGACACAGCCCTGCTGAGAACAGACTCAGGCTGCACCCCAAGGCTCAGCTTTCCCTGCAGAACACTGGGGTGGATCTGGCTCCACTCACTCCGTGCCCAGTGCAGGGAAAATACTGAGACCACACGGTGGAGGATGATGATGCTGTGGATTTTCTTGGCTTCCCAGGGTGACCTGGGCTCCCTTTTCCTGCTGCTGGCAGCAGGACTGGCTGGCACAGTGGCACACAGAGCTCCACACTGCACCACCACCACCCCAGCTTTGGGAAAGGAGGAGAAACAGCAGAAATTCAAGCACGCTGGGAACACACAGGTAACAAAATCRCAGATTGACTAGAGCAAGATAAATATTTTAAGCATAAAATGTGATTTCCAAACACTGTGGAGCGTGGGGACAGCAAAACTGATGATCAGCTGAAATAACCCAATTAGGCATCCCAGAAATGGATGGCTCCAGCCACACCAACAGAAGCACCATTAATTCAGAGATAAAGCAAACATGGCACGAAGCTCTTCCTATCAAATCAAGCAGTGCCTGGTGTCAAACACCTCTGTGTAACAGCCTGAGCTTTGCAGGGGCTCTCAACCACCCCCTGAATCTGCCTGGCAGAGATCAGGGCAGCCCAGATTCCAAGGATGGGATCTGTGCTCAGTTTTTGGGATTAGCTAAACCTGGGACAGGAGAGTCAAAGTGTCCCAAAGTGGGGACAGTGGCCTGGGAAATGCTCATTGCTGCTGGKGACACCTCCAGATTGCCCTCCCATTTCATGGACACAGGAGGTGACAACTGAGGGRAAGTCCAGGGATACAAAGGGAGCAGAAAGTTTAAAATATATGGTGTTTTACAAAAAAACACTGGCAGTGGATTAGCAGCATTTTGGTTGAGAACAGAGTATCCAGAGGTTGTCACATTATATAGAAAGAACTATCTAAGCAGAAACAAATGAGAACCAATTATAACTAAATAGACCTGGTGCACAAATAGAATTTTGCCATTAAATATCATTTATCCCATTTAATTAGTATTTTCTGGACACAATACTCAGGATTAAAATACCATTCCATCTCCTTGGAACTTGTAATTATTGTTGYGACCTGTCCTGTTATGCATCTCCCTGCTTCCTCCATCCATGCCATTTAAGAACCAGCAAGATTTTCAATTATCTGTGCTGAACTGTCAAAGCTACCTTTAAAAGAAGGGGAATAATGTGTGACTCAATTCCTCTAAAAAGGGGGAGAGATCATTTTTAGTCAGAATGAACACACTGCATCTTTCATCATTCTATTTTTTGCGAGTAAGAGTAAAACAGGCTATTTAAAACATCCATTTAAATGCAAATTTTTTTTATATTCCAGRCTGGGGAGGGTGGGGGGAGTTAATCATTTACCACAGACAGGATTATTTTCTTCACTCCACCCCTGCTAAAGTTTTAACCTGGCACCCACATGGGTGCAAGGGATTTGTTCACCCCTGTGGTTTAAGGGTTTGGAAATGAGGGAGAGGTGACAGAAATTGGGAGCAGTGGCTGTGGCACTTACCCAACATTCCCATCCCAAGCATAAAAGCGTCCATGGTGTACGGCAATCCACGTGCCCTTCCTCTCGTSCCTGGTGGAAACATCACTTCTTTAGGTTGTGCTTTCTTACATTCTACCTATTGAGCAGAAACATGTACAAATGAGATGCAAATGAATTCCATGTAAATGTCAAACGCAGAACTGATCTACTTAAAGGGGGGGGAGGTTTATTTTTAGAGTCTGCCTCCCCACACCTCCTCCCCTCAAAGGTGAACTTCCAGAATAACGTAACCAGATTGAAAAGAGCAAACGTGTGCGTCTCCTGAACCACCCACTGCAACCCCCCAAAGATGACAGAAATGCTGATTGAAGAAGTTGTGTGCTCCTGAAAGGGAACCCAGCACTCGTGGGAGAGGGATGAATGGAGGGAGGGTTCCTGCATGGCTCCATTGCAATCGATGACAGAAAACGACTCCCAGTGATCGTTACAAAAAGCTCCTTTTAAAACAGGAATAAAGAATCGATATTTCTAGCCAGCAGAAAATTTCTGTGAACCCTATTAATAAAGGATCTGCATTCTTTCACTTTGGGTTACTCCTGCTGCCTTTGGAAGCTGCTCCATGCCACTGGAACCACATGGATTCCCTGTGAGAGGGACCCAGAGGGACACCAGAGGGACACCAGGACCCCAAATACCCTCTGTGCCCAGAAAAAGGGACAAACACAGCATTTCTCCAWGGATTCTTGCTCTGGCACTGCTATCTCACCCCCAAGGTTCTGAATCCACAGGTTTGAGCTTTGTGCCTCTTTGTGTTCTTCCGATATTTAAATTTTTATTAATTTGCCAGCGTGATTTACAGAGTTTTTCAAGGTGATCTCTCCATTCAAATGACCACAAGTGTGCCATGGCACCTCATTCCACACCCTGGAATCTCTTGGGAAGGCCCCTGCTCCYGATGCTGTGGCAGCATTGATCACACCTCACCACACAGTGGGGATGATAAAACCCATCCAGCCTGGATGGATGGACAATTAACAGGAAAATGAGTTTGGATTAGCACCGTTTGAAACAATAACACGGTAATTAGCTTTTGCAACCACAACCCAGCCCCACTGCTGATCCCTGAGAGCCTGGCACTGCTCCTGATCTCMACAGCACCTGGGACACAAAAAGAGCTGTACAGGGGCTTGAACCAGGATTAAAGGGGAAGAAAAAGTCACCAGCAGGAAAGAAGAATAATTCCTAAGCCTCTGTAAACAAATATATCCATATGGAGGGCAAGAATATTCTGTTATCCAGATAGACACTCCCCCCGTGGAAGGAAACAGAACACACAGAGGGGTTGCTCCAAAAAGGAATGCACATGGATTTATGAGGAGGCTCCACACTGAACTGCCCCCAAGAGCTGCCCCATGAGGGTCTTTGTACACACAACTGGACCTCAATCAAACTTTTAGTTCAGCGATTCTGGGCATCTTAATAATTTCCAGATTTTTTCCACCTCCCCGTATACGAGGATGTGCCGCACTTTCAGCAGCCTAACAAAGAAAGGTTTAACTCCAAGGCTGAAAAAAAAAAAAAGGCAGGGAAACTAAAATTCACTATTTTTGTTTAGTCTAGTTTGGAGAATTAACTTTACACTTGGGTACTCGTGGGTCAAGCGGAGCAGTCTCAGCCACGGGAAGCCAGGAGGGCTGAGCTGGGGAGTGAAAAGCCTCTTGTACCCAGCACAACAAAACAGGCTGTCAGCTCTCAGCCCGGGATGGCTCACAAACCCCTCTGAACAGCTTTCCAGGGAAGCCAGGGCTGTTTGCAGGAAAGCAGAATGAGCCACRTCCACAATGCACAAACCCCCATTGAGCCACCTAAAAAACAAGGAGACTTTGTGGTGCCAGCAACGTGYTCTTCACAGCCTGGGGAGCCCCCATCACCTTGGGGACACCACGGCAGCTGCAAATAGTTTTAAAATATTGCTTTCAAAAATGCATGGAGTCGTTGAGCTCAGATTATTGATCAGTGGCTGGGATTTGGAACTAAAAGATCTGGCACAGGCTGCCCAAAGTGTGGCTGCCCCATCCCTGGARGTGTCCAAGGCCAACAAAATCCGACCCTGAGATGGGAGGAGGGAGAGCCCCAGATTTCTAGAACAGCCCAAAATTCCATCAGCTGCTCCAGAACCTGACCCAGGCTCAGCTCATCACCCCTCTGCACCCCGGACATGAATGACTGCACCACAGTGGGATCCAAGGRAAAAAAATTAMYYC